GGAGACTAGTATAGATCTATTTCAAGCTATTTAGCTCTCATCAGCTAGCCAGGTTCGATTCCCAAACTTGGGTATGGCTAGCTGATGAGAGCTAAATAGCTTGAAATAGATCTATACTAGTCTCCCTTTATTTATTTATCAGCATAAATATAACAAAATGTAACAAAAAGGCAACAGTAAAAAATATTGGGTTTCTGTCTGGATGGTCTCTTGTGACGAGCCTAATGACAGAGAGTGGAAGTGTGACCTTCCTCGCATACTTGGGCATACCAGGGGTTGTGACTTTAAGTATATATGTGTGTGTGTGTGTGTGTGTGTGTGTGTGTGTGTGTGTGTGTATTATCTGTACACACACACTATAGTGTGTGTGTGTGTGTGTGTGTGTGTATGTATGTATGTATGTATGTATGTATGTATGTATGTATGTATGTATAGAGCTCTCATATATCTGCAAGAGGCAGGCTCGAAGGAGGACTTCTTTTTTTGTGAGAGAATGCTGAAAACCTAGAAATGAAAGTACATAGTTTCTATCTGCTTCAAGTGAACTCTTTAATCATGAGGTACAGATTTGGGGTGAGAACTAGTAGAAAAGAGAATTGATAGGTTATGGTTATTCCAAATGTTTATGGAAATCAAACACATTCAAATAAAGTTGAAAATTTTGCATGTTCACCTATCACAGCCTTATTGAATGTTTAATTCTGTGCAATCATCATCATGCAAATGCCATCAGTAATTAAAGGATCTAGATACTTCAAAAACGTTTATTTTAACTATTTCTTGATACTGCAATTTTTCATAGTAATTTACTTGTCTGGTTTGATATCACTTTAGATATCTATATAAGAAAAATATGTAATAACATCTAATATTGTTTTAAATATTGCCATTGTAGTTTATAGTGGAATGTCATGGAAACACACTACTTCCACAATTTTTGGGCATGTACCGGCTTACTGTTGATGGAATTGAAGTGTACATGATTGTGACAAGAAACGTATTCAGCCATCGTTTATCTGTTTATAGAAAATATGATTTAAAGGTAAGCACTTTTTTCCTATGGACATTACAGTAATTCTGTTAATAATCCTGCAAGGAAGGAAGGAAGGAAGGAAGGAAGGAAGGAAGGAAGGAAGGAAGGAAGGAAAAGGAAGGAAGGAATCTATTAAATACTTAAAAACTTGTAATTACACTGCATTAAAACATTTCAACAAATTATCCTTTTGAGATGTGTTTATTAAATAACATTTGCAGCTTATCCAACAAAACCTTTTATGAAAATAACATAATGTGTGTTGTAAAGTGACTAGGCAGAGAATTGCTAGCTAAAGTAGCTAAGTGCTAATGCTTTCAATCAAAGCCATTTGAAAGGTTAAAAAAAATAGCTGAAGAGGCTATTTTATCCTTAATGCATTTTGTAGGCAGCTGTGTTCTGCACACAGATATGTTTTTCCCTAATGAATAGAAGTACTGCAATAGATTAAAGCAGTACCCTGCATCATTTAATATTAAAACTATTTTAGCAAATTACTAAAAAGCCATACTAAGCCATTTCTATTTTTGTCATCTCTATCAAATATATTTTCAATGGCAGTCCTACATCCATTTACCTGGAAGTAAGTCTCATTGATCTTACTTCCTCTGAGTGGATAAAGAGGTGATTATGCAGTTGTTGTTTGAAGTTTGATTGGTTTAAATTAGTTTACCATATCCTGCTTCATTTCCTTAGGCTTGGGGTTAGGAAGTGAGATGGCTAAGACAAAAATCCTTACACATGAGATTGATTGTCTTCTGTCAACTAGGCTTCACAGTACTTTATTTTAAGCAGTTGATACATGCTATATTAGCAGAGGAAAAAAATAGTGCTTTTCCATATAATTTTTTAAAAAGATTCTCAGATTTGCTAAGAGAGACTGGTATTATTGCAGACTATAGAATGTGATAGCTCAGTTGTAGAATGTAAATTATTAATGTTTTATTTATCAACATTATTTTAAAAATATAATAATTAACAATTTACCTGGGTGTTCAAAAAGTCGCTATCAAGTTTATTTCACATCCTTGGATGTGAAAGTGTGCCATTTTCTTATTTCAGTAAAATCTCTGTCCCTCCATCAACCATGAATGAGTAACAGTCTTAAGAAACAAATATTTTAGCTTCTGGACCTATAAATATTCAAGTGGAAATCAAAGCCATTTCATTAGATGTGGCCTAGAATTTACTAGTAAAAGTTCCCAGAGGAAAACTAGGATTCACAGGTAGTCCTTACCCTACAACAGTTTATTCAGTGACCATTCAAAGTTACAATGGCACTGAACAAATGTTGGTTACGATCAGTCCTCAAGAGTTCCAGCTGTCCCAGCACTCCTGTGATCCTGATTGCTATCTGGGTGCTCGGCAACTGGTTTGCCCTTACATTTGTATCTCTCCCTATTACTTACCTAGAATGTCAGTGGGGAAGCCAGCAGGGAAGGGGTAAGTGTCCCCCACCCACCCACCCTTTTCCAGCCCTTTTCCACTCATGCCACACCAACCACTTTCACACCATTGCTCACCTCCCCCAACCACTTTCACACCATTGCTCACCTCCCCCAACCACTTTCACACCATTGCTCACTTTCCCCAACCACTTTCACACCATTGCTCACTTTCCCCAACCTCAGTGCCCACACATTCTTCCTTCCTTACCTGTATCTTTTCTGCGTACCCTCATGCTCTTGATTATTTGACCATAGTTGTTCCTTGATTAATGACTTTCATTCAGAAACTCTTTGAAGTTATGGCTGCACTGAACAAATGATATTTAGGTCCACTCTTCAAAGTTACATCTATTGCAGAGACCCTGCAATCACATAGTCAAAAGTCAGGTGCTTGGTAATTAGTCTGCACTTATGATTACTGGAGCAGTTCAATTCATCCCACCTGCCAATCTCCCTTCCATCTCTGTCCTTTTGGCTGTTCTGGCAGTAGTGGGACTAAAATAAAGACCCAGGCCTTTAGCTATTTGAGCTGACAGCCGCCACCCCTGGGCTCCCACTTCAGCCCTGGCACTGCCACCATCACTGAGGAGTGTTTTCTCTCTATCCCCATGGGATTAAGCCTTGGCTAGCCATAATACAAAGCCTCTGTCGTACCCACATGCTTTCACCATCTTCCTCCCACTGCTGACAAGGCACGACCAGCAGACAATGGCTGGGTGTACTAGGCATTCTTCCCAAGGTAGCATATGCCAGTCTCCAACTCACAGGGGCCTTAAAGTGCTTTGGAAGGGCTTGACATCACCCTTTATGAAAGCATTAGTTAGCAGCGGAAGTTCTTGTTCCAATTGCTATTGTTAACTAAGGACTACCTGTGCTCCAAAAATACTAGCAGGAAAATGGCAGTTCACCTTTTGAACATTTTATTGTGATGCTACTTGTGATAATATTAAATGAGAGCTAGGTGCCCCCCCCACACACACACACTACATCTGCTTTTGTTAGCTGGTATAAGAGTAAAATATAATAACATAACTTTTGGTAGATGTGTTACTATTTTAATTTTCACACCTATAATTCTTTATTTTGAATTAGCATAAAATATTAAATTTCACTATCCTCTAATCATATCAATATTTTAAAATATTCGACACATATTTGACTGGTTAATTGATCTCTTAATATTTTGGATTCATTTTATAATAAAATGTATGTTTTTAAAAAAAAACGCACTATACCATATATATATATACTATATATCATCTTGCAAGTGAATTACAAGTGATTTATCCAGGAAGTGGGATAGTTATGGGGGCGGACGTAGATGCACGCTTACACAATGGACACATATGTGCAGATTATAAAACAAGGTGACAACCGTTTTATTAATACCAGTACTTTAAATTCCTTCCAGAGATTTAAGGAAAACCACTAAAATTCTCATGTTTGAACAGGCTGAAGTTTAAAAGATTTCTATAGAAACAGGCTAATACTTATAATAGTTTATAATAATTATGTGTGACTTTTACCAGAGTATTGCTAACCGGGGGACACTTCCTCTGTTGAAGAATGGTTATGGCTGACATGCTAGATTCCAGATGTAGTAGAAGAAGATACATTAGTAGAAGAAGATAGGACCAGGAAAATCTAAATTCCATGAAAAGAAATGTATTTTCTTATTATACTTTAATACAGTATGTTTGAATTTTATACTTGTTCATAATACAATACAATAAGTTTGAGGGACTAAAATAAATTGATGGTGAAAACATTTCTATAAGTGTGTTATTCAATATTGTTCTAGTGACAAAATGTGCTGTGTTTTTCTTCCAGGGCTCAACAGTAGCAAGAGAAGCTAGTGACAAAGAAAAGGTGTGGCAAAGTTATATTTATATACTTAGTCATCTGCCTTCAACTTGTAAGAAAGGGAAAATTTATGTTAGTTGTGGAGTATTATTCTTGGCAACTTTCTTAGATGTAATTCTACACCTACTTAACCAGCATAAGACAAATTAAACAAACCCATATGAGGCTCCACTTCTTCTTGGTGACAGGCTTCATCCAGTATGACTTTACTCTAATCAAATCTTATATATTTCATGAGACTATAACTTTTTTCCTAAGTCTTACTAGAAACCTGCTGAAAAATTAATATAAATAAATTATTCCAACTACTGTCAATGAAAACAGTCATGATAATGTTGAGAATGGGACAAATTTATTTAAAGTATCTATAGATCTGAAACACTTCAGTTGTTTTGGCAAAAGTACTAGAATTCAGAAGCTGTAGATTAAAAAAAGCACATTTCAATTTAATATGGAGGGATCCTGTTTTTACAGTAACGCTTGTCAAGGGTCTAAATTTATGATGGCGAATCTATGGCACCTGTGCCATAGGTAGCACACAGTGCCCTCTGGGACCAGCTGTTGCCCCAGTTCAGCTGTGCCCTGCATGCGTGTGCGCCTCCCACTGGCCAACTGTTCATCGGGTCTCTGCTGCGCATGTCCAGAAGGCAGATTGTGTACCAAGGGGCCATGTGGGGGGGCAGGGCATGTGCAGGGGCCATGCCGAGCACATGTGGGGAGAGAATGCACTGGGGCATGCACGCATTGCATTTTGGTGGTTTGGGCGCACACGTATTTGCACGTCCATGTACACGCTTTGGGCACTTGGTCCGGAAAAGATTAGTCATCCCTTATCTAAATCTTTTGAATTCTTCATATATATTGACCTAGAATAGTCGTCTCCAATCTAATACCTCCAGATCACAATTTTTTGAATTCTCATCTAATATAACCTGGATTGTGATTCCAACACTATACCACATTGGAGAAGGCTGAGTTGATTATTGTGGAAGAACCAGTTAAACTGAATCCAAAAGTAATCGCCTGCTTGTTAAAATAGAAACCCAAAACCAATTTCCTATCGTGAGGCTGTCCTAAATATTGTTCAAATGATTGTGGGAAATCAGTACTGAGTTACTTCTGAACAAAATTGGTGTTTTCTTTACATTGTGACAATTTGACAGTGATAATATTAATTTTATAAAAACAGATATTTAAACATAACCCACTTCTTGGCTTAGAGAAGAGTGATAGGCTTCCACAATCATCAGATTCTGACAGCCAATGCTTTGATTTTGCTTAATTTTTAGTGGTGTATATAGATTACGCATGAGTAATCTGGAGCATTTTGTGGTTCTCTGTCTCTCCTAGAGTTCTATAATGTGTCATAGATGACTGTAGTTATAGTGTACAGTTATTTATGGTTGATGATTGAATGTCTTGCTAGTAAGGTACTTGTGTTCTAACATATACACCTGTGTCTGGGGTCCTTTATCTTTTCTGTTGCACCAAATATTAGCTCTTACTTAAAGGATATATTTCCACAGCTTCTTCCCTACGCTTTGCTTCTTGTATTGCATGAAACATACACTAGTATATATTAAAATGGGATGGGATGCCTCAGTGGCCAAGACGCTGAACTTGTTGATCAGAAAGGTTGGCAGTTTGGCAATTCAAATCCCAAGCACCGCATAATGGAGTGCCGTTATTTGTCCTAGCTTCTGCCAATCTAACAGTTTGAACGCATGTAAAAATGCTAGTAGAAAAAATAGGATCCACCTATGGTGGATAGCTAACAGCATTCTGTTGCGCCTTTGGGGTTTAGTCATGCCTGCCACATGACCACAGAGACGCCTTCAGACAGCGCTGGCTCTTCGGTTTTGAAATGGAGTAGAGAACGACTAGCACATACGTGCGAGGGGAACCTTTACCTTATATTTATTAAAATATATTTAATGCAATCATAGAACAAGAAGTTAGGCCATCAAGTCTTTTCTTAGGGTAAAAATTCAGATTAAAGTTTTGATGACAATAGCTTTTTGCTAGTCACATATTCTTCATAATCAGTAGTTTGGTCAGGTTGGATTTAGCATTGTGGCCATCTTTTGATAAATTGTTGTAAATAATTCAGAAACAAATATTTTTAGGGTCATTTATCAAAAGATATTCACAATATTCCCTTAACATTTTTATTCATAATTACATCACTCTTATTTTTAATCTTCTTTGCCCACAGTGCAGCTTTTTTCCACAAAACTTTTGTTCCAGAAAATAATACAATTATTTTATGAATAATTATTAAATAAATAATATTGTCCAATTTAGGAGTCACAGTATTTTATGATCCCTAAGCAATGCATAAAATTAGTTTAAGAACGCCTTACTTTGAATCTTTCATTAATCTTTGTTGCATCTTCTTATCATGGTTAATTGGGGAGAACCTAAGCCTCATATCTGAACTTCTGATTGCACCCATTTTAGCAGAGCATCTGAACAGGATTGCCTGGTTTGTTACTTGCAGAATATTTTATGAGTGATGTATTTGGAACATTCTTTTGCTAGTTCCTGCCATGCAAAACGGGATTTGATGTTTAAACTGTCAATTGTTTTTTAATTAATGAAGAAATGTATCAAACATTGATTTATAGATCAGAATGTTTTGTACCTTAGTAATGTAAGCAAACGAAAACACAGGGGATGTGTTAATGAAAGAAAAAAATAAGATGCTAATGTATTTGTTTTTAATCTTATGTTTGAAAAGGCACAATAAATTCTGGTGCTGTAGCTCTATAATGCCCTCTGGTGGCTGTTACTTTGCATTTTGATGTCTGTTCATGATTAGTTATGTTCTGCTGAGACAATTGACATTTCATTATTCTGTTGCCTTCATTGTTTTGAAATGACTTTTGCTTGTTTGTCTGCCTTAGGCCAAAGAACTGCCAACATTTAAAGACAATGACTTCATTAATGATGGTCAAAAAATTTACATTAATGAAGCCAACAAAAAGATGTTCCTTGAAAAGCTTAAAAAGGATGTTGAGGTAAGAATAAAGGCACTGTCCTTGCCAGAAACACTTATACAGTTGTACCTCCTGATATGGCTGTTAACTTAAATATTTCAATATGCTCCAGTAAAGATACATTCAATTTATGTGTATTCCTTGAAAAATTGCTTTGCATCTGCTTTGCGGGCATCACCTCTCTCTGGTGTTCTTTAAAAGCAGCCACAACATTGTGGGTTAATGAAACAAGAAAAAAGGCAGCCAGCTTTCATGAATATTAAAACTATGCAACGAATCAGAGATGGCAGAATTGATACCCCAAAACTGGCACATCATTCATGAGCAACAGGAATGAAGCTAAAGAATCTTTGCTGTCTGCACTGTCTGGGATTCACCATATTGGTTTAAAACAAGCTGGTAATAAATAGTAAAGCCCTGCCTTTGGTCAAAAGCTTCAGATCTCAAACGGAGATTGACCATTTTAAATTCCGTTTTATTCCCTGAAATATAAAATGATTCCTCCCTTATGAAAAGATGTAACACTCTAAGATGTTATCACTATGAAATAATAATTCTGCCTCTTCTTTTCTTAAATGCCTGAATATTCCTGGTATTTTACTTTGAATTGTTAATTTGCACTATGAATATTTGGTGATGTGCCTGTGAAATATGGATCAAATTGTCTTTCCACTGTTTAAATCTAGTGGGTTCTTAAATGATCAGCCATATGATTAGTCTTTTGGTGATTAGTGCATTCAAGCATTCAAGAGCTGTGGTGGCACAGTGGTTAGAATGCAGTAATGCAAACTAACTCACTGTTCACTTCAGGAGTTCGATTCTGAGCAGCTCAAGCTCAAGGTTGACTCAGCCTTCCATCCTTCTGAGGTGGGTAAAATGAGGACCCAGATTGTTGGAGGCAATGTGCTAACTCTGTAAACCACTTAGAGAGGGCTGTAAAACACTGTGAAGTTGTATATATATCTAAGTGCTATTGCTATTCCTTAAAATCCCTATAGAAATATTATATTTGTATGTAAGCAATTACTGTAAGTTTAGATTCTCAAGTTGATAAAGAAAGGTTAGAAATGCTTCATATAATTTATTTTATATTCACCATATTTTTTTAAACAAAATTGTTTGCTGAGAATTAAATAGATCAGTAACTTCACTGCTGCAAAAGATTGTGCTTTTCCATCAATTACATTTCAGTTTAAATGCATTTTATTTTTCATACTGACTATATATTTTATTTTTTAGTGATTTTCCTCAGTCTGGTTTGGTCCTGATGTGTTAGACTTCAGTTACTATAATGCCTTGCCAATTTGTGATGAAAGCTGGGAATTATGTGAAGTCTGAGTTGAGCAATAAATCTCAAAACTATAGTGTTGGTTCTTTTTATGGAAGGAGATGCATTTTCTGGAGCTGTCTGATTATTCATTTAGTTTTCAGTTTACATTCTAATGTGCTCTGACTAATCAATATGCTTTCATTTCCTTAATGTATATAGATAGCTTGTATATCAACATTTCTCTTAGAAATCTGGGGAGGAAGTAAATATGATACTGTTCCAGTCTTTCTTTCAGGATTGACTTTCAGGGCCCAAGTAAGCCTGATATTTTTTCATGTGACCTTCTGTGGCTGGTACTTTTAACAGGTAGCTGATATGGAGGGGAAGGAATCAAAATCAGATTAGGGTTGTAGCAAAGAATTGTGTCTGTCACATATCCAATTTACCTAACTTGACCTGCTACCAAAATGAACTGAAACTTGGGGCCTTGGTATTCCAGCAGTTCTTGAGATGCGACAGGTCACTTAACAAATGTTCAGTTACAAGACACTTCCCCAAATTACATAATTTCTATTTCAAAGTTACAAAGGTTGCAATGCTCCTGTGGCCATTCACCATTAAAACTGACCACAGGGATGCTACGGTGCCCTCTGTCTCTGTCCCCTATCCCACCCTGCCATAACTCCACAGTGCTTGGGCCTGTTCCTCACATGTCTTTCACCCGTCACATTTATCTTTTGGAGCTCTCTGGACCTCATGTGGGGAAAGAGGGCTGGCCACATGTCCCTGGGCTGTGCAGAGGTGACTCAAAGGCAGCTGCCATTTTGTCCTACCAGCTTGTTGGCAGTGACAAAATGGCATCCCCCAGACAAACTGCTTCAATTTGTTGCCTTAACTAAATCTGTACAGAAGCTTCTGAATGCTACAGAAAGCTTCTGCAGCACTGTGCAGATCTGATTAAGAAAACAAAATCAAACAGTTCGTTTCCAGACTGCATGGCAATGATCCGGACATGGTTGCCATTTTGTAGCTAGGACAAAATGGTGGCCACTACCATAACTTACCTTATGGTCACATAAAGGAAGCAATCCATTCCAATATTCTGGAAGGCCTCCAAGCTCTTCAAAGGATAAGTGAGGAGGAGGGTGTTTGTCCTGGTCAGGTAGAAATTAGGCCTAAGGCCCACCTGAACCTGGTGGGAGTGTGAAAAGGCCTGTGGAAACCCAAGGATTGGGAGTAGAGCACAGGGAATGGGGTAAAGGAGGCCTTGAGAGGGCCAGGGCATGTGGACCTGTGTCTGTACTAGGCTTCCACCTGTTGCACCCCTGAGGCACCCGATTTTTTACTTAATAGCCCAGGCATTCATTTAATGTTCATTAGAGAAAACAGAGGTGGGGGGTGTCATTAGATGAGATATTTCATCTAACAATCATTGCGACATGCAACCGTAATGGGCAGGTCCATTATGGACATAATCTTGAGGACAACCTATGGAGACTTCAACATTGCCAAATATAGACTGTGGGAACAGAAATCCTACAGGTTTGGGCAGACATCCTATTTAACTGCTTTAACTTTACCTGTTACATTCTTGAAATACTTTTTGCATCTTTCATTAAACCCCACTTTTTTATTTTCACTTGAACAAATCTATGCTAATACAAACTAACATTTAGTGTAGTAAAGGTATCATTTTCTGATTGATAATGGATTCCTTTTTTTTCCTGTTATTGCTGTATAGTTCCTTGCTCAATTAAAACTCATGGATTACAGCTTGCTGGTTGGAATTCATGATGTTGAACGAGCTGAGCAAGAGGAAGTAGAATGTGAAGAGAATGAGGAAGAGGAAGGAGAAAGTGATGGGACTCACCCAGTTGGAACACCTCCAGATAGCCCAGGAAATACACTGAACAGTTTGCAGCCTTTAGCCCCAGGAGAATTTGATCCAACCATTGATGTTTATGGTATAAAATGCCATGAAAGTAAGTGGCTTTGCTATAAATTCTTAGACGTGAAGGGCATTAGGGTTCCTGTAGAATCTCTGCATTTTAAAAAAAATGATCAAAAATATGCTTTATGGAGTTTTTTATTCACCCTAGTAAACGCTAAGTTAACTAAGTTGAAACTAAGTTAACAGTATATAACATTATGGGAAGTCTGCAGCTTAGAATACAGCAATTTAGTTTTGTATTTACATATTTCAAGTACATATTCTTATCACACAGTGTATCTCCAAGTGGGAACAGAATACATTAAAGTACAATAAAATGTATTAGTAATAAAAATAAATAAATAAATAAATAAATAAAAATAAAAATTTATCAGACTTGAACATTCTGATTCTACAAGAAACTACGCTACTTGGAACAGCTTATATCCTCCAACGTTACCTTAACAGTTCCTAGGTCCTTGG